GCTAACTCATCCCTTCTATAATTAAAGAGGCAAAGTCATGAGGCCCTATTCAATATAATGTCAGAAAATTAATCTGCCCTATAAGAGGGTTTGCTTTCTCTCTAGGCTGTGTCATTGCTCAAGAGGCTTCTCTAGGTTTTTAGTCTGGGTGTGGCCAGGGTGAGTCCATAATGTCTCCTCCCTCAGGTTGGTGGCTGGTAATATCTTTTCATCCACCACACCATCTTGGTATCCCCATGTTACTCTGCCTCTTTCTTTGGCTCCATTTAATTCTCCATATCCCATTTTCTGCCCACTCTGCCCGACTGTCAGATGGTTAGTGGATGCGTATTTGTGTCAGCTGTAAGGAATTTTGTAGCCCTTAGTAGCCAGCTCACAGTTCCCATCCAGACACTCACACATCAATCTACAATCTCCATTCTGGACACCACTCTGGAAAGTGAGGAAGGCAGAAGCAGGTGACATGGCCATGGCATGCACCCTGAGCTAAAAGGAGGTGGCAAGGCTCATCTCCATGTTAGGCTCCATAAGGCAGGGATTCTCAGAGCAGGTGTCCTCTGATTCCCACCAAGGTATCCACCAGCCAGAACTCTTCAGCCACCTCTGAACTCAAGGTCTGGATACTACCCCTCTTTCCCTAACTTTCCTGAACGTGGGAAGCTACTAAGTTCCAGGTAACCCTGTACCCCAATCCCTACAGCCTCATAAAGTTCAGGATGGAGGAAAGGCTCTTTTATTTAGACTTTAGGGTGAGGTCCTTGTGGGATTGCCCCGTATTGAGGAGTCCCAAAGGCATTGTATTACTTCTGTAATGATCAAGTCATGAATTCTTAAGACATAACAGGGGGATCTGACCTAACGGTGGATACTCAATGCCACTGTCACCTCCCTGCATGTCCAGTCTCTTCTACAAATCAGTATAATTAATAACAGACATGACCACCTTCCCTATGACCCAGCAAAACACTGATTTAAAAAAATGTTATTAAGCAATTGTCACCTCATTAGGAAGAAGCCTTTATCAAACAAAGGCTTGATTTTGGGCTCACATGAGGACAGTTTTTCTCAGTATGGTTTTTATTATGGGAAAAACTTCTTCCCAGCAGGACAAGAGTGAAAATCATGCTGATGTTGATGAGACAACAAACATTTCTTTAGAGCATAGTGCATTGGACAGTAAACATTGTGGTCCAACATACCTGACACCCTGGTCCTCTGCTTGCAGGGGCTGGGAAGAGATGTAAACTCCTTGAGCAGCAAGGCCTTCTTGTTGTCCTTGTTTCTGATCCACCTGTTCAGAAGATGGATGTGTCCCTTGGACTTGCCTGGTGACCAGGAATGATAGCACCCATCACTCTCTTTTGTTCTGAGGAGGAGGAACCCCTAGAATAATGGGATTGTCTACTCATAGGGGCCTGGAGTACCTCTTTAATTATGTTTTTCTTTGAGGCAGAATATTCATGATGAAACTTCATTATGATCCATCCAACGGTGGTCATGAGTGTCTGGGCTTCTGACACCCCATTGTCTGTAAGCAGTTGGCTTGTGAGTAACCCTTCGATTTGGGTATTAGTTGATGGGGTCATGATTTGCGTAAGGAGTTTGCCTGCCCTTTGGCTTTACTGTGGAAAATATTCTGTAGAAAGTTTCTTATTCTAACCCCAAATTTTCTCTTTAAAGAGCCTGGGAGGACTTGTCCCCCACAGTGTCTTCTTCCTTCATGACAGAGGGACAGAGGAACCCATTTCCTCTGCACAGGATTGCATCCCTCCTGAAATCCTTTCTTCCTGTGCTTTTGACCTGGGCTACACACTGTCCTCCCTCTTGGCAGTTGCTCTAATCATATTTCTCCTACTCTTCTATGAATCCTGGAGTTCAGGGATCTTGCATTTTTGCTGTCTTCGCTTGTCAAGAGTCCATACAGCCCCTGAGAAGTTGATGAAATGCTACTGGTCATGCTAATGGAGCTGGACAATCTCTCCTGGGAAGCTAGGATGTCTGCAGCCAGAATCACCTCAGGGGCACAGTTCTGATGAAACATGTCAGTGGCAAGTCTTGCAGGATGATGTCAGTAGCCTGTTCTTGAGGCTGGTTCTCTGGCACAGTGTGTGCATTCAGGCGTGAGTATTCTTGGCTCTGTAAATTAGAACTTCTAAGAAGGGGAGGGTCTTTTACTGGTCCTCTGAGATTCTAAATTTCCCAGATGAATATCAACATTTAGGAAATTTGACATCTTTCTGATTCTCCAGTCAGAAGACTCCTCCTCCTCATCCTCTAGCTCTCTGATTTCTTCAGCTTTTAAAAATTTAAAAATACCTGAAGTGATAACATGCTATGGCATGAGACTTGTTAGCTCAAACCTCCACTCCCCAGAGACTCATGTATCCATTTCTAGACTTGGACTTGGTTCCAGCTATCTCTTGCAGATCCCAAGACAGTATCATTGTGCCAGGTTCTGCCCACAAAAATGTAAGTGTGGGGCTGAGAGGGAAGGCTGCCCTTGTGTACAGTTGGAGAATCTGAAATCCCACAGTTGTCACCAGATGTAGTTCTGCTCAGGGACTCAAAAGAGGGTCCAGAAAGAGGACTTTTCTGGATGGGAACTGGAGTTTTTGCTCTCTCCTTCAACCCTGGACCTCTCTGAATGGATTTTCCCAGGACCCTGGCATTATGGGTAATGGAGTCAACCTTGGAGTTACAGGTTGCTGTAGAGGGAAGGGAAGGCTGTGGAGATGATGAAACCACAGAGTTTCTCATCTTTAAGATATTTATGTGCTTAAGGACCTTGAGGGGTGGGCTCTACCTATGCCTTACTCTTAGACTTTTAACACATGCCTTCAGCATCTGCACAGTGCCAACATCAAGGAGGGAGATCTCCTCGGAGGTGTTCCTGAAGGCTCCCCCACCTCTTAAGTTTGGTTCATCCCAAGTTACCTTCTGAGTCTTTGAACTTTCAGGTGGGACACAGACATGGTGTGTGCCAAGCCTGGAATTACAAACATTCACGGGAATCATGCCCTCTTGGATTATCACTGACCTCTCTAAACCAGTCTCGTACAGCAGAGCTGCTCTTGTCTGGAATCACTGAGTTCCAAGAAGACTCACAATTGTCCTTTGCCTGACCTGTCTTTGGGATGTTGTCCCAGGATTCTGTCAGATTCAGAAATGGGTAGATATTGGGTGGTAGTCCATACTGATGTAGCATGAACCTCTTCTGAAGGTGTTGCTCTAGTTTCTCCTGAAGCTCAAGGCTGAGGAAATCCCCTGGGGGCATGTTGATGGGCTTGTGGTCACAGGAGGCCCTATTCTCAGAAGTGAGATGGCTAAAGATGTTCAGAAACTTTTGGACTAAACAAGGTAAAGCCTCTCTACTTTCTATTTGTTTCCTCAAATATTGACATTCAAGGTGTTGAAGAGAAGAAGGGGAAAGGAACTGGGTCTCCTTTTGGCTGTGGGGCATGGAAATCCACAGGCAGCATTAAGAGGAAGATGACATGGTAGGCTTGTGAGAGATGATGGAGGATATGAGCCAATGATGGGGACTGCCACCAGGGTAAGGATGGAATCACAGGCTGGAGTTGGACAAGAGGGTGGAGCATCTGAGAGGAAGAGTGTAGCCTGCACCTGCCCTGGAATGTAATTAGGTACTTCATTGAATGCAATCGAGGAAAATTCTGCTGAGGGCCCAGACATTCTGACAGTAGCCAGATTCGCTGTGCAGAATAGGGAGGCCCCAAAAGAGCTGGCTGCATTTCTACTGTAAACATCTCCCAGGACCTTGGTGTAAAAGAGCTGCTGAGAAACAGAAAGCTTCTCTGGCTTGCCTTTTGTGTTCCAGAAGTGTTGTGGGATGGTAATGTCCTTCTCCCTACCCAGTGACTTAACTTTGTTTCCCTGAGAATACAGGGAGTAGATTGTTTCATCTTTTATCTTCACATTACAAATTTTCCTTTCTGCTCTCTTGCTGATCAGTATCTCCAATAGTTTCTGGACATCAGGGTTAATGAAAGAGTCCCTTCAACCTCTACTTGTGAGAGTGGGTGGTTCCCCAGTATGAATCCTCTGGTGAGTGAAAGCATGATCTCTCTTGGATTTACTGTGTGGGGAGTGGGAGAGGCCACAGACTCTGGCAGACATCTGCAACCAGGAGAGAGATGTGGGAACAGGTGGGGAGAATATGGCCTGAGATTGCTGGTACAGGAGTTGAAAATGGGCCAGGAGAAGGCAGTGTGCCAGGAGATGACAATGAGCCAGGAGATGGCCTTGGCACAGGAGAAGGCACTCAATAGTGGGTAGAAGAGCTGTGTGGGTTCATGCCTAGTGAGAGTGTCATTGAGTCACACTGATGAGGAGTCAGGATGAGGCCTGCAGAGATGGAAGGTGGTCTCTGGGATCAGGAGCATGAGATGGGAGAAAGAAAAGTTCATAGGCTGAGATGAATGTAATTTTAGAGGAATCACAGACTCTGGTTACTGAGAGGCACTCAGGATTTAGTGTGACTCAACAGTCACAGTGAACTGAGGAAGTCATTAGGTTTGGTAACAAATTAAAGGCCAGGAGCAATGGTGCTTGCTCAAAGAAGTCAAGGAAGCCAAAATGAAGAAGGCAGTGGCCAAAGCATCCTCCATAGGCAGTGTATGTAATTGGTGCACTCTAGCTGACTCTGGTTTACACATCTCTTCTGGGTCATCTCCTTTTAAGAGCTGGTGAATGCTGCTATCATCATGGCAATTCCCTAGGTGGCTCCAGAAATAGGAGGCTCAGGCTGCAGCCAGGATCAGATGGGGCCATGAGGTAGGGCTAGTGGGGAGGGGGTGGGCACCTGTGGCCCATGGCTCCTCGCTACCTACGCCCTGAATTTCTAAAGCCCTTGATCTCCAAAAGCCCAGACCTTTAGTCAGATCCTACTCCAACTGAGGGCTTCTGCACTCCCCCATGAGAGCTTTGTGTTGTCAGATCTTATCACAGGCAGTGGGAAGGACACAGGAAGAAATAGAAAGTTACATTTTTAGAAGTGAAAGCAGATCTTCATTGTCTTCCACTTTCTTCCAGCAATCACTATAACCTGAAAATGGAGACTGGGTTATTTTGGAAAAGGGAAGGGTGAGTGGTATGTCCATGTGGGGCAGACTGGGAGAGTAGATTCTGGAGGGCCAGCACCAGTGTTTGAGCCATATGACAGATGACAGGTATAGCAAGGCACATGCAGGGTTAGCACTTTGTCATTTATTTATACCTCCACTAGCCCCCATTGTACTCCCTATGGGGAGAAATATTGGACCATATCAAAGAGGAGTCAGTCTTAGGGGCACGAGAACTTGTTCACACTTTTGACTAGAAGACCTACTTACATATCCAGATGAAGTATGTGTGTTGAAGGGTAGACAAATGGCAGTCAGTGTAGATAATATATCTGTCTCATTGGAAGATGGGGCTGGTTCAAAAGGAAAGGAAATCAAATGGTCTTTCTCCCTTCTCCTCTCATGTGCTCTCCCACTACTTCTACAATTTGTTGTTAAGGTAGCCTGCCCTAGAATTGTTCCTCCCTGCAGGGAGTTGTAGGAGTTAATTAATGCCTCCTGGGCTGATACCTTCTTGCCTGGATCACTTGGGCCCACCTTTGGGTCATGTATGCAGAATGGGAGAGGAGAGGCAAGAAAAAGGGAGAAGGAGGACATGAGAAAGAGAAATTCTAAAATACAAAAGGGACTAGACATCCCCACTTATTTGGATACATGTGTCAGGGACCCCTTTTCTGCAGAGAAATCTAAATAAAACTTGCTTTCTATGCTTGCCTCAGAATTTCTTGGGTGTTCAGACTTCACCCCTAGGGGAACAGAACTTGACCCTGATTGATTCTCATCATTGCCTGGATCACAGAAAACATGGCGCCAATAGTGCCTACACCAACCTACAGGACATCACCCACCCTGGCCCACCACAGCTTCATTCTGGGCACCTGAGAAGTATCTCTAGTATGGTTTCTTTCCCAGGATCCTCCCTCTCAGGTTTCTGCAAGTTACATCTGGGACAGGGCTCTGGTCTCTTGGGGACACAGGACAGCAAGTCACCTTTCAGAATGCCACTCTTCTTCCTCTGTCCCTTTTTTACCTTCAGATGCTGACCAACAAGAAAAGGGAGGTGTCTAGAGCCTAGTTTCTCTGCTTTCTTAGGCCAGCTACAAACATTCTATGTTTCTGAACAGCATCACTTTCTATAGCTAGTGGAGAACCTTTTATTCAGAGAACATTTTTAAAGTGGCAAAACTTCATTTTTTCCCTTTGGAAAGCACAAAAGGGGATTTTCTGTATAAACTAAGCCATGGATGTTCTTAGTTACTGATTCTTGGCGCAGTAACAGACTCATTTCCACAAGCTCTTCTCAGCTGTCAGGCAGGGTTGTGCTTCCCGAGGCCAGAGGTTTCTCCAGCAGGTGATGGAGGTCCTCAAGGCTCAGCCCTGACCAGAGCCCAACACAGAGAAAATGCTTGTTCTAGAGACACCCTCCAGGAGAAGGACTGATAGAGTAGTGCTTAAGGCCTGTCCTTCTCCAGAGGTTCCCAGATCTCTCAGGAGTCCAGACCTCAGCCACTGAGTCACAATGTGTGCTTCACTCTAGGATCTGCAGCTCACCACATGGATGGTCTGAGATATTCAGATAGAAGTCCTAGTGCACACTCTCTCTCTGCCATGCCCCACATATCTCAGAGTGATTCTCTGTTCTGTCCTGAGATTTTTTTTAATGGTCTCTACTTATTTTGGAAAAATGAAAAGAGAAGACAAAAGAGAATCTTTTTTTTGTTTGGTCTGGCCTGAGGGTTTCTTACCTTCCTGAAATTTACCTTCATCCTTGGTGGTGAGAAGGATGGATTACCCTGGAGGCAGGGCAATAAGAGGAGAAAGAGCCCCAGTCCACACACAAAGGCAAGGATCATAACTATTGCCTAGGAGGTGAAGCTGAGGTTCAGCCATGAGGCACTAACACTATTCAGAGGAAAGAGGATTCTCCATCATCTGAATTGCACTGTTCTGTTTGGACAAATGAATCTCAAGAGTTTATTTCAGCAATGAGGATTAATACCCAGGCCTGTGTCACACAGGGCTGTGCTCTCTCATCACAAAGGGATACTGAGAGTGGGGGAGGTGCAAGAATGAGAGGCACCACCACACCCCTGCCCTACTCTCCAGCCCAGCATGTCCTCCACCCTCCTGGGCCTTTTAGATCCTTTCTTCCAACTCCACCTGCTCATCCTGCCAGAGGAGACCTTCATCAATTTCCTGTTGTTTCTGCTTGGTACCCAGACATGACCTGTTTCCTTGTAGATCTGTTTAGCTCCATTGATATCACACCTTTGGAAAATTGGATCATTTCTCTGTTATTTCACAGGGATTGTTACTCTCAGATTATCTCCTGTCTGCAGTTATATCTTTCTCACATAATATTTTCTTGCATTGCACCAACTCAGACATAGAACTGAAATCTCTTCTTTACATATTTATTTTTGTGAATTTTGAATAAAATTTCTTCATAATTTTTTCTAGTTATTATCTTCAGTTAGAGGGTCTTGAACATCAACAAAAAATAACTAAATTAAATATACCATTATTAAGAATTCAGAAAAACAGGTACAGAAAATGAAAAAAAACTTCAAAGAAATTTTTGGATGTTTCTAGTATATTTGCTTCTAAAATAAATGAACATTCAATGGAAAAAGATATTTTGGGGAATTTCTGTACAAACACAAACATGGACAAACACACACAAACAGATGCAAACCCAAGTATTCATGTGTGATATGAATACCAAATATCCATCTGTGATTTGTGTAGAAATGGAGTTTTTTTTTTTACTTTACAAAGAGGAAATATTGAATCCAGAGGTATGTGTTTTAGAACAAATTTGGTAAGTTTCTAGCCCTTATTTTACAAGGAGTTTTTCTTCTTCCTTCTCTCCTTTCTCTCTCAGTGTCTCCTTTCACATGTGCCCGTAGCTGTGCTGAAGGGGATGTCCAGGTCATGCAGCACTACTTGCTGAAAGGATCTCTGCTCCATGCTGCTGTGTCCCCTCTGGTCCTTTACTGTACACAGGTTGGCTATACTGATGTGGGTCTCTTTCTGGGTAATATTTGCTAATACTTCATTGCATTTTTTCTTATACTCTCTTTCATGACAGATTTTAGTCTGTAAATTTCTTATAATCTTTGTCTGATTTTGTTATTACATTAGTTCTGGTCTGATACAATGAGTTAAAAAGTACCTCCTTTGCATTATCTTCTGGAAGAGATTTTAGAGAATGGACATAATTTCTTTCTTAAATGTTTGTTAGATACCAGGAACATATCTTGAACTGGTGGGATGTCCTTATTGGTTCTGTATCTTTGATAAGTTACAGTTTTATTCAGATTGATCTTTTTGTGTGCGTTAAATCTAGCATATTTGTCTTGCAAGAAATTAGTACATTTCATGTAGTTTTTTGAATTTAAGAACATTGAATTGTTTGTGGTATTCTTTTACTATCTTTCTAATGTCTATAGAATTTGTATT